ACTTGCATCTCATCTGCAACTGTCCCTTTCAGTGGGGGGTACTAAGTGGTGGCTTGGAGGAACTGGAGGGGCAGGGAGGCACTTCAGATCTCTATCAGCCTGCCCTCAGCCACTCTAAACACAATCTAGAGAAAAAAAAGAGTATACTTGCTAAGCGAATATAACCTCAAAGGAGGTATCCTCCACCGCAGTCTGCCCCACTGACCAGATGCTACCCCCAAGCCACATAGAGAAACTGCCCTCCGTATCGATTTCTTAAACAGTACCTATGCAATCAGTTACCTCTAAACTGAGCTCTCGGGAAAATCACCAAGAACAGATTCTGTGAGAGTTTAGGATAAATACTCACTTGGAAGATTTCCTCCATTACCAAGTTAGAAATCATAATGCCAAAGTAAGTGACAGTAGTCCACATCCCTTATTCAGAGAAGAAAAAAATTCACAGAATAGAAAAATTTTCATTTTGACTGTGCCCTCTCTAGAATTTAAACGAGTTTGTAACCTAAATTGGCGAAGTTGCTTTGTTTCCTGCAATAGAAGGATAGCCTTAAAACTTGGAAATACCAGGAGCGTGAGATGAAGCCAGGGAGGGCCCCACAGAAGTTACAAGCTCTGTGATTATTTCTTGAACCAAACACCTAAGGCTCTCAGTGGTACCAAGCTTTGTTGGAAAGCTTGTTTCCCCTGATCCAACAGCTGTAACTTTTTAAGTGATTTCACAGAAGACCTCAAGATTCTCAAGCCAAAGCCACTCTTTATAACATCCCCAAAATATTTACACAATGAAACACTTTCAATCTTAACCATGTTTTGTTTGTAAACACCTTATTTGTCCTGATGACTATAGTACCAACACTAAAAGCAGCCTTTTAAACAAAGTAGCTCAAATAAAACCACACACAGACACACAGGCATTCTTAACACCCAGAGCCTATCCACAGAGCAAGAAAGCCAGGATTCAAATTCCTTGGCACCTACTCACTAAGCTCCTGTAAGCACCACGCAAGGACATGACCCACTGCACCCTCGCTAGTATAGCACCTCCTTATTAATTTATGCTTCTAAAAACCCACAGAATCTGACTGATAACAGAGTGTTACAAATATTGGACAAATGTTTCCTACTCCCATTTCTTCTCTCACATTAGCCACATGGGACAACTGATCCTGTTTTTGGGTAAACTCCACCCCAGATGAGAGAGCCATTGTCCACCTCCTCTACCCAAATGGTGCCTCAGGTACCAGAGGTGGCCTGGCAAGAGCCTCTAGTTATCTTTCCCTTGGTGTGTCTCTGTGTGCCTTTGTGTGTGTCTCTCCTGTCATACATCTCCTGGGAAAGTTATCTGTGTCAAGGGTAGTACAAGAGAAATCTAGAAATCTAGAAGTACCTGCTTTGGGGTAATAAGAATTGTATTAAGAACTGTAACAAGAATTTTAAGGGAAAAAAGTCTATGTGAGTGAATGTATTCCAAAAACAAATAATTACAAAATACATCTATTTCAAACACATGGGAGGCCTTTTATGCTTCAACTGTGTGCTACATGGGAGTTTTCATTTATGCTGAGATGAAACTACTTCACAGAAAACTACAGGAATATTACAACTGATGCCAGAACCATCAATGGAAAGAATGCAGTCTTGAATCTCCAATCATGGTTCTACTATTGACTCAACAAATATTTATTAAATACCTGCCAGTGATCAAACACTAATTGCTAGAGAGACAGGGAAGGACAAGACAAAGACCCTGCCCTCAAAGACCTTAGGGGAGTGGGAAAAAAAGCTACACATTATAACTGTCAGAATTATAGAGACACAAGAAAAACTGATAAATGAAGGAGATTTTCAGTCAATGATAAGTTCTAGGACAAAAATAAAGAGTGGATGACAATTTCTGATTCTGTTTCCTCATGAGGATATAAACACCTACTTAAAACAGGATGATGAATGTCAACCACCTGGCACTCAGCATCCCCAAGCATTTACCTGCACACTAATGCACATGCATAGACACTCACAGATACAGCATTTTCCCCCCTTAACTGCAGTATCTGTGATAATCCACCTTGGAATGTAATAAAAGCAGAAGGTAAACAAAATATTTGTGTAATTCAATTATACTTAATGCAATTAAATTACAAATAACTGCATTCATCAAGAATCGATAAAAAGGCAAAACCTAGGGGCGCCTGGGTGGCTCAGTTGGTTAAAGCGGCTGCCTTGGGCTCAGGTCATGATCCTGGAGTCCCGGGATTGAGTCCCGCATTGGGCTCCCTGCTCGGCAGGGAGTCTGCTTCTCCCTCCGACCCTCCCCCGTCTCATGCTCGCTCTATCTCATTCTCTCTCTCAAATAAATAAATAAATAAATAAAATCTTTTAAAAAAAGGCAAAATCTAAACAATTCTAAGCTACAAGGATAAACAGAAGTCCAGATAGAGGGATAATACTAGTAATATTAGAAATATTTTTATAGGGGTGCCTGGGTGGCTCAGTCGTTAAGCATCTGCCTTCGGCTCAGTTCTGGATCCCAGGGTCCTGGGACCAAGACCCGCATCAGGCTCCCTGCTCAGTGGGAAGCCTACTTCTCCCTCTCCCATTCCCCCTGCTTGTGTTCCCTCTCTCGCTTTGTCTCTCTCTGTCAAATAAATAAATAAAATCTTTTTAAAAAATGTTTTAAAAAAAAGAAATGTTATTATAAAGAGTAATATGGCTACCTTGCACACTCTGAAGGACTGCCATGAGGATCCAGGCTATTTTGCCAGTCAAAACATACAAGTAAGGCTCAGATATTAAGCCAAAGAGATGTTAACCCAAAGGCACAGTGTCAGAAGCTGAATTTAACTCATCTTCAGATTATTTTGAGAAAAGACAATGACCAAGTCCTTGCAGAGTCACAAGATTTTATACCACGAATTAACTTTGGGAAACGCTCTCTATCCCTCCCCCACATTACTACTGACCAAGGTCCCCTGAGGTAAAAGGTTAACCCCAGGGTGGGGTAGCCAGCAATGACAGAGCCCAATGCAGGACCCAGGCCTCCTAGATCCCTGCCCAGTCCGCTTCATTCTCAAGGACCTGCATCCCTCAGGCAGGTGGCAGGCTTTTAGATTTTATGAGAACCACAAGGGATGATACTGACTTCCATAATTCAATTTCAGTCATTAATTGTCCCCATAAACTTCCAGAGAGCTGCACCTAGAGCAAATTGAGGCCCTTTACTGGTGGCCAGAGAGCTCTCTTCATGCAAAACAGAGGACACGCCCTCCTTGAGAAAGCTGCCTCTAACACTGTCAGGTACGTTATTAGGAACATTATGCATCTAGCCTGAAAGGCAAAAGAGATCATTCCATTGTAGTTTTCAGGGCTTGCCTCAGGAAAAAGGCTCCAAATTATTACTTCGGAGAGGGGGAGAGTCCAGGTACGGGCACACGAGAGGGAAAGGGGTCTTGAACTGTGTCCAAGCTACTTCTAAGAGAATGGCGAGAGGCCTGGGCTGTGAAACGGGTGAAGAAGAGAGAGCAGCTGTGCCCGGAACGAGCATTTGACCACACCCTCTGGCCACGCCCTCCCAGCTGCCCGCAGAGCCACATCGAATTGAAACAGCAGTGGGAGCAGTTAAGATTCCGACGACAGGAGTCGCTATGGCAACGGGATTCATCTTGCAGACAAACTCCGCTTCAATTCACTAGGTCCTTCTCCAGGCTCAAGCAACTACCAACTCAATGAGAGCAAAACGGTCACGAGTAGCATATGCTCTTGTTAATGCTCTCCTGCTGGTGGAGATGGGGTGGGGGACCGAGATGGAGGAAAGAAGGCGTAGGTATCTATTCCTGGGCCCACTAAAATATTTGGGGGGGGGGGTGAGGGAACACAACACCCCAACGCCAGGCCGTGAGCAACTTGATAAGAGCCATTCGCAGGGTTTGATGAATGAATGAGTATACGAAAGAATGAGAGTGCTAGGGAAAGGAAATCCAGGGGACTTTATTATAGAGTTCTCGGGCCTCGAGCGCGTCTCAAGTACAAGGGCAAGCCCATCACGAGCGGTTGGATTTTCGATACCAGCTGGTTCCTACTGCCCAGCCCTCCCGCCTCACAGCGAGCCTTATCATCTGATTATTAGACACCCCGCACCGCCTTACCACCTCCCAGCCCAGGGCTCCGGGCAGATGCTTCGCCCCCGCTCAGGTGCTCTTCGTGGAGGGAGCAATCAGAGCAGGGGGGAACGAAGATGCACCTTTCCTAGGCGGAGAGGCGGGAGCGCTCTGCTGCGCCTCAAACCCGCTCCGCAGGCGGCGCAGCCTCCACTCGCTGCTGTCCGCCAACACCCCCATGCTCCTTCCGCAGCGCGGGTTTCCCTCCTCTCCTGAGACCTTTAGCTTCCAACTTTCTTGGAATTACAGTCACCCCGTCCCTTTCGAATAAAGCTTGAAGTGAGGGCTGCAAGGATGTTTGCGGTTCTGCTCGGACGCGGGCCGGCGGCTAACCGAGTCCCTCCTTCCCTGTCGCCACCTCCGAGTCCACCACGCCTGCCTCAGAGCCTCCCCGACCAGCAGCTCCCTACCGCGGCAGGGCCCCCCAGCCGAGGCCACGACCCCCCGGGGCCCCAAGGCCGCAGCCTCGGGAGCCCGCAGCAAGGCGGCGAGTGGTACCCTGCCTGCTCTTTTCCTTGGCATCCCAGCGCCTCAGAAAGAAAGGAGGGAGGGACCCCTGTCCTCGGGGGCGCCTTCCTCCGGGCTCGCCTTGCTTTTCGCTGCGCTTGCAGCCATTTTCCCAAACCCAGCTTGGCAGCCGGGAGCTGTCTAGGTCCCTTTCCCACCCAGACCCAACCTGAAGGACGGGTTTAATATTTACCTACTGGCCCTGAGGCTCCGGGAAGGCAGCGGGAGGGCGCGTCGCGAACCCAGCGCCGGGCCCGAAGAAGCGCGCCCACCCCCGCGCCACCGCGCGGTGCTACTTAATGAATGAGTGCGGCGGGCGAGGCGGCACGTCCCCCTTACCTGAGCAGCCCCTGCATGCTGGAAAGGCGGCTCTGCGCTCCGGGTACAATGGGATCCGGTTAAACAGTTTCCTTCACAGCCGCTCGTAGGTTACCAACTCGCAGGTGACATCACCCTCTCCTCGCCTGATAGGATACAATGTGGCGCCCACTGCGCATGGACTCCCCAGCCGGGCCCGCACACCCCTGGGAGTTGTAGTCTAAGTCTCCCAAGCACAGCCCGGGTAGCTACGCTAACTGGGGTTCGAAGAACTACACTTCCCGAAATAGTCCTCGGCCGCTTCGTCCCCTCCCTTTGGTCCCGCCCCCGCCGGGACCCGCCCCCTCCCCGCCCTCCAGCCTTGCAGTGTTAGCGGTGGTCGTTCAATAAGCCGAGTTGCGGACAGCGCGGGCGGGGGAGGTGGGGGGAGGGCACTGTGCGGTTGTGCCCTTTGAGTTGACCTCCACTCTGCCCAGTGCGGGCTCTGAGGGCCACCAGGGGTCCGGCGCTGGTGCGCACGGGCCAGGCAGCTCTGATCAACCCGGCTCTTGGCCCCAGCTGGAAAGAGAAGATTAAGCCTTTCACTGCCGTCCTTGGGCGTAGAAACTAATTAATAGGACGCACTGGTTTCTGGGTTAAAAGCGGTCCTGGAATTCCCCCACGTCCCCGAGGATGAGGCGATGCCGGTCCCGAAGAAGAGAAATCCCCGTGTGCCCCACTTAGTACAATTCACCTTTCTGTCCTCTTTCCTTCTCCCATTTAACGGAGTCCGGGTGACCAACCAGAACGCAGGGAACAGCTTAGTTGGCTGAGCTGACAGAATAACGGAGGCTGTCACTAGTAAAAAGGCGGCGTAACCGACAGTCGCTGCAACCCTCCATCAGGGAGCCTACTGCTGCTGCGGAGATAGTACTAACGCGCAGCCATGCTTTTGTTCTTCCCTGCAGCTGACTTCCCGCCCTGAAGATCTCAACTCCCAAGAAGACGACGTCCTTGTCTGAAGTTTTAATAAATGACACATATGTATACGTGTACTTTTAAATCCACAACACTCTCCTCTCATTTCCCATACCTTTCTCTCAAGTATTTTTTTTAAACGACCTAAACCAAAACAACATCGTGCTGTTCGAGAATGCTGGGATCTTAATACCGTCAAATGTTGAGTTAAAGGTAAGCAAAAGGTGCGTAGCAGAGTTCTGACCCTTTAGGAAGATTTTAGTTTCGTATTAAAAATTTTACCGTGACATTTTTCATTATTCAATGAATACCAAGTATTATCAAAAATTAACACTGAGAGCAAATCTCCAGGTGTCTTTTTAAGTGAGTAAAAGAAATCGATGCATCTAGTTATTCCAGTTGTAAAGGTAACTTATAATGGTACTTGATGTATCTCAATCACAAATAAGGATCAGCTCACACCCTTATTTCCACTAGCAAAATCTCTAGAAGACTGTACAAAAAAGTTCATGATTAAGATTTCAAACAACTCCACCTAATCATTGGTGGAAAGCTTATCACTCTTATTTTTTCATTTCATTATGCAACACTAACTTGGGTTCAAGGGAAAAATATTCATGGAACTGGTTGAGGATCTCAGGGGAGAGAGAGAGATGCTTTGCTTTGCTGAGAGAGGAGTTTTAGTGCTGAATTCTGATTTTCTTTTAACAAGCCTATTCCTTACAGACCATACACATTTTTCTCCACTGAAGGAAGATAACTTTGAATGTTCTGAGCTACTCTATCCATTTCAAATATTGTGTTAAATGGAACCCAGACAATGCAAATGTTCCCTTGGCCATCAGATCAAGAGTATAACTGGTGATATTCTAGTTAATGGGTAGGCTTAATGTATTGCAGCTCATTGTGGAAAAATATTCAGAAAGAAACTTGACCTGAAATGATTCTAAAGGCTCTCCAGTTTTATAACTGTGTAAAGCTTTTAGATGGAAACATAATCAGTAAGCCTGAAATTTACTGAGTCAATAAATTGGATGTGGAGACTCTCTATAAGGCAAGGCTTATCCTTATAGATAAAAGTATATTATTGAGGTGCACTCCAAGGAATAACTTTATAGGACAAATCACTTTACAGCAATTTCTCTTGGGTCTTCAGCAATGAAGGAGAGGATGGAGCCTGCCTGCAGAAAAAAATTCCATTCTCTATAGCAATTAATGTTATAGGGATGTGCCATGTTACACAGCTCCTTTCCATATGTAAAAGACATCATATACGGTAGACTCTAAGCACAAAAATGTGTGGATGCGCACATGTGAGCTGTCCTTCCTATTCAATAGATATGTCGATAACAGATACAGAAAGTAAGCTGTTGTATTTGGAAGCATTTTTCTGTAAGTGGTGATGGATTTGAACTGATTCCTGTACATGGTTTCATTGGTAACCAGGGGAAACAAAGATGGCTCTTCAGCATCAGAAAGGCAGTCTGCGGACGTGGGACCAGAGGAAGATTAACAACTTCTATCGAGACAGAAGGGAACTGTCTCTCTCTTCCTCTCTATGAGATGCATGCACATACATTCACATACACTCATTGTGTGTTTGTATTTAATTCTAAGTGACTAAGTAGTCTCATGAGACATCAAAAACACCCACTCTGTCTAGCTTAATTTACATGCTCAAAGAGTTTCTTTGCTTTTTTTCTTTTCTTTTTTAAATGGTTGCTGTTATTCTAGAATGACCTTATGAAAGACCCCATCTTGCCCCATAATCATTGCCTATTAATTAGGAAACTGTGGGACTACTGAGAATAGATTTAATTGACCATCTACAGGTGGAGGAGGGGCAAGGTGTCTTAGGGTATTTTGCTGATCTTTCAAAATAACCTCTCTCAGTTCTGGTTACAAGGTTTTACTCTACACCTTAGGCTTTAGATAAGGGAGGAAATGAGATATAAATAGAGAAAGAATTTTAAGTTTGTAGCTTTGCATGTGTTTTCACACAATAGCTTGGTGTTTTGCAACAATTGAGGTTATGTGCTGAGCCCAGGTTTGGGATCATGCCATTTTACCACTTTTGAGCAATGTGACTTTGCTTATTCTGTGTAGCTTACTCCCTCTGAGCCTCAACTTTCTTATTCTTCAAACGGAGTTAACAACAAAACCTACTTCACAAGGTTTTTGAGCATTAAATTAGATGAGACAAATACGAACACTTCTGCCATTGAAAGTTCAGATGCTGGTTCTTGTTAACATGTGCAGTTTTCCCCTGAAGATTATCTCAAATGTCAACCGTAATTATAAAACAAAAAAGCTATTTAAATTTTTAAAAATTTGTTCTTAACAAGAAACTATTAGAAATTATATAGCAAGCACATATTATCTCACTAAACTGTAAGTAGGCAAAATGTACTTAGGAAAAAAAAATGAGAAATCCAAATTGAACAGTGCTTGTCCTTGGCTTGTTTTCAGATCCATGCCTTGTCCTTCCCCACTGCCCCAAGCTGTCCTCACTATCACAGGCCATCTGCCTCCGGCTCCTGTTCAGAGAGAGGCCCTGCTGAGAGGTTGGAAGCAAGAGCAAGCGTGAGACCAGGGTATTTCTCCACTTCCACTTCTCCACCGCTGGGTGATGTTTCTGGAAAGGGCAGCAGCATTTCCCACGTTGGGCTGGTCCACTGTGGTTCCAGCTTCTTCCAGTTCACCCCAGCCTCTGTTAATGCCACCTTCTCCCCTTGTCCCTCCAGCCTAGGGGCAGAGGGGGCTTCCTGCTGTTGCTAATCTCTCATTGCCTGTTTGGCTTCTCAGACTTTCTATCACCCCATGACCAATTCCCCGTACTGTATTATGTCTGTTTTAAATAAAATGGTTTTCATTTTTCTGGTGGAACCCATAACTGATATATTTGTGTCATAGTTCTCAAGTTCTAAGTTCTTGTGTCTAAAGACACAAGTTCTTGGATCTAATGCTTGTGTCTAAAGTTCAAGTTCTCTTAGGGGCAGGCAAGAGAAACTTTTCTATGGCGAGTTTATGGAAAATAACGAAAGTAATAGGATTAAGTGAAAGGATTAAGTAACCAAGCCTCCACCTACCAGCTCAGAGAATCGAAACAGTGATAGTTTTTGGAACTTCTCTCCAGAGCGCTGCTCTAACAGCCCTCAATTTCCACATCTCTTTGTTCCAAGTCACAAATTCCTGAGAGAAGCTGATAGCCCTATCTCAGGGTGACTATCCCTGAGGTAATTATCTACAGCAGTGGTTCCTAAAGTGTGGGGCCCCAGACCTGCAGCATCAGTATCACCTGAGAACTTGTTATAAATGCAAATGCTTGGGTCCCATCCACAGACCTACTGGAAAAGAAACTGCAGGGATGGGTCCCACAATCTGTGTTTTAACAAGTCCTCCCGCTGATTCAGAACCACATGAAAGTTTTTGAACCACTCCTCTGTAGAGAAGATGACAAGATCATGTGGCTTAAATATGGTCACTGAGCACCTATCCCCGTGTGTCTGGGAGTCTTCCCAGAGAGGAAAAAGTGTTATGAACTTGGCAGCCACCCCAAGAGGTGTTGAGTAAAGCTGGTAAATCTGTCAAGGTCTTCACGGTAAAATTTGGTTCTTCCTGAGGAAGAGAACTTTAGAGTATTCTGAGCCAACTAATCAATTTAGTCACAGCAAAGCCACTTGGAAAAGACTCATTTCACTGTGTTTAACTGAGAACTCGGAAAAGCTGAAAAACCAGCATCAGGGCAGTACAAGGGAGATGCAATCTTACAGAAATCTGAAAACAGGAACATTCATAAGATCAGACCACAGTGAAAGGAGATATGAAAATAGCTCCAGCCACTCAAAACTCTTCAGACCAGTCTCATCTGAACAGCTCCTGGGAATTCAGAAACAGAAACTCTCCTTTGAGGGGTGCCTGGCTGGCTCAGCCAGAAGAGCATGTGATTCTTTATATGCAGGTCATGAGTTCCAGCCCCACATTGGGGGTAGAGATTACTTTAAAAAGTTAAAACTTTAAAAAGAAGAAGAAGAAGAAGAAGAAGAAGAAGAAGAAGAAGAAGAAGAAGAAGAAGAAGAAGAAGAAGAAACTCTCCTTTGTCTTAGCTAGGATCCCTATACTAGCTTA